GCCGCGACTGGAGTACCACCCCCCCCCCCTTTTGGTCGGTCCCGCTACTACGGGCTCCCTGAGACCTCGAAGCTGTCCAGGGCCTCCAGGCCAAGGTTCCCAGAAGCCCACCAGGTCGGCCCGTTCTGCGATTTTCATCCACGGGTCAGTGAGATGCCGCCGGAATTCCGTTTTCCGGACCCCCCGGCTTGAGTGCCGGTCCGACGAAGGCAGCTCCCGCTAGGAAACTGCCGCCCTAGCTCCCACCACGGCCGCCTTCACTGATCCTTTAAGCCGTCCGCAGTCCACCTGTCAAACTGTTCTATTGCCGACGGCCGCCGTGAAGGTGTACAACCCGAGTGGCGACTGCTTAACTGTTCGCGCTCTATTGGATTCAGGTTCACAACGCTGTGTGGCCTCCACTCGGTTGGTGGGAAGACTAGGGCTCCCCCTGGAGCTCTAAATCATGTCCAATGGTAGGTATTGGAGGTGCAGAGCCTCCTGCTCCTAGGGGACAAGCAAGGCTGGTGTTTGGTCCTGCAAGCGAACACCTCCACATCTTAGTTAAGGTAAATGTCCTCGATTATATTGTAGGCTTTCTCCCTAATGCCCGTATAAATGATAGCGCGGTTTGTTGTACGTCTGGCTTGAGACCGGCAGACCCTCAATGGTCCCAACCTGGGCCTATAGATTTGTTGCTGGGGGCCGACGTGCTGGGGTTCATCCTGTTAGGCGAGATACGAGCCCTACAGCCCGATGGCTTGTCAGCCGTGTCCACTGTATTTGGGCACAGTTTCTTTGGACCGGTTCTGTGGTCTCCACCGCATCAGGCAGCCGACCCGCTCCCTGTGGCGGGCGTGTCTCTTTCGGACGTCGTCCAGCGGTTCTGGGAAATTGAGGAGCCGCCACACGCGCCTCGAGTCAACCCTCTGGACCGTGAGTGCGAGTTGTTCTACCAGAACAATACCGGCCGCCGTGTCGACGGTCGCTTTGTCACCCGCTTACCCTTTCTTGACTCACGGCCTCCTTTGGGCCAATCTCGGACCATGGCCGAAAAGAGGTTGCTTTCTATGGAGCGCCGTATGCGTCGCGACACAGCCTTTCGCGACAAGTATGTCGAGTTCATGCGCGAATATCAAGAGCTGGGTCACATGTCACCTTCTCATTTCGACTGGCGATCACATGAACACTACTTCCTCCCCCACCACGCGGTTTTGAAGTCCCCTGGGAGTAAGATTCGGGTGGTTTTCGACGGCTCCGCCCCCTCGTCCAATGGGGTGTCCCTGAACCAGTGTCTCCACTCTGGTCCTAAATTCATCAAGGACATATTCGACATTTTGACCCACTTCCGTCGGCATCAAGTTGTTTTTGTAGCCGACATTCGGATGATGTTACGACAATAAGTGGTCTACCGTGATGACCGTCGATATCAGCTGATCCTGTGGCGCGAGAAGCCCAGCGATCCGATACAAGTGTTCGAGTTGAACACCACCACCTATGGACTCCGATCCAGCCCGTATGTCGCTATGCGAACCCTCCTCGAACTCGCTGAGAGAGAGCGCCTAAGATACGCTCGGGGGGCTTCTATTTTGGAGACCTCGGTCTACATGGACGATATTTGTACGGGTGCCTCCACCGTCGAGGAGGCTCTCGTATTGCGAGACGAATTGATTGCCATCCTGAAGTCGGGAGGTTATGAGCTGCGCAAATGGTTGTCGAACTCCCCTCATATTTTGAAGGACCTCCCTGGAGAGGATCAACAAGACCCTCATCTATTCGAGCACCCTGACAATCCTAATTTGTTGACTGTGCTTGGCATTCAATATCAGCCTGTTCAGGATACCTTCACGTATCGAGTCAAGCTCGATCCCCCCCCCCTAAATCATGGACCAAGCGCTCTGTGTTGTCAACTGTAGCTCGCACCTTCGATCCTAATGGTTGGATTACTCCGGTCATCTTTTTGGCTAAGTGTTTCCTTCAAAAACTCTGGATATCCGGGTTGGGCTGGGACGATCCTATAAGCGGTGCTCTCTTGCGAGAGTGGCTCTCAATTGTGTCCTCCCTTCCAGACATCGACCGGGTCTCCATGTCAAGGTGCTTCCTCCCTCCAGGGAAATGCAGGGTTACCCTGCACGGATTTTGCGACGCCTCTGAGAAGGGTTATGCTGCTGTTGTATATTTGCGGACGGTGAGCTCTTCTGGCCATACTTCCGTCCATCTCGTACTTGCTAAAAGCAAAGTGGCTCCCATTAGGTCCCGCTTAACTATTCCTAAGTTGGAACTGTCTGGAGCTGCTCTTCTCACGCGACTGCTCAACCACGTTCACTCCTCCTTGAAGTCGGTAATCGACATTACGGACGTCTACGCTTGGTCGGACAGTGAGATAGTACTTTGTTGGCTCCGAGCGGCACCTCACAATCTTGAGGTCTTCGTGTCGAATCGAGTGTCCCAAATCCAGAATTCTGCCACTTGTCTAACGTGGAGACATGTCCCAGGGGAGTTGAATCCAGCAGACTGTGCTTCTCGTGGCTGTGAAGCCTCCTACTTGGTTGATCACCCGCTGTGGTGGGGGACCGGCTGGTTAACTGAGTCTCAGGCGTTCTGGCCCCAGAACAAATACTCTGAACCAATTGAATTGCCTGGCCTACGAGCCCGAGTAGGAGTGGTCAAGGATAAGCCCACTCGTGATCTCTCCTTACTAGAACGGTACAGCTCTCTCGACAAGCTCTTGGGAGTAACTGCTTGGTTGCGTCGATTTGTTCGCAACTCGAGAGACCCATCTAACCGAATATCTGATTCCGCCTTGTCCCCTAGCGAGCGGCGCGAAGCCTTGATGCATTGGACCCGTATGATCCAAGCGGAGCATTTCGAGCTCGTGATTGATACCTTGAAGCGGGGCTTAGTTGTCAAGGGTGCGCTGGCCCGCCTGAACCTCTTCCTGGATGACTCGGGGATGCTTCGCGTGGGCGGACGTTTGAAAAATTCTCAACTGCCGTACGAGGCTCGACACCCTCTACTGCTCCCCAAGGACGGCGCCTTTGTTCGGTTGCTGGTAACTCACTACCATGTTCAGAATGCCCACGCTGGGTGCAACGCTCTTTCGGCCATTTTGCAGCGGGAGTTTTGGATTTTGGCGGGTCGACGCACCATTCGGAGCGTCATCTTTAAGTGCATATCTTGTTATAAGTTGAAGGCCCCCATATCACAGCCGATGATGGGCGACTTACCACCCGACCGCGTCAGGGCCATCCGACCATTCGCGGGAGTCGGAACTGACTTCGCTGGCCCCTTCCTCGTCAAGTCCTCTAACCTTCGTAACGCGCGTGCTCATAAGGCCTATCTGTGCGTTTTCGTGTGCCTCTCCACTAAGGCTGTTCACTTAGAACTTGTAAGTGCCCTTAGCACGGAGGCCTTTTTGTCCACACTGGGTCGCTTCGTATCGCGTCGCGGTTTACCGGACCTGATCCGGTCGGATTGCGGAACGAATTATAAGGGTACTGATAGGTATTTGAAGGAGGTCGTTGAATTTCTGTCTAGCAACAGGACCTATTTAACTACTGCGATGTCCAAGAAGGGCATCCAGTGGAAATTCGACCCTCCGGCTTGCCCACACTGGGGCGGTATTTTTGAGGCGGTGGTGAAGGTTGCAAAGACGCATCTCCGTCGCGTTATTGGCGAAACTATTTTGACATTTGAAGAGCTTGCCACTGTATTCTGTAAAATTGAAGCAGCCCTCAACTCTCGGCCCCTCTGTCCTCTCTCGTCCGATCCGAATGATTTAGAGGTTTTAACCCCTGGCCACTTCCTGATAGGCCAGCCGCTTAACGCCCTGCCCGAGTACCCCTTCCGGGAAATAATCTCTTCGCGGTTGAGCAGATTTGACATGCTGCAACAAATAACTCAGAGTTTTTGGCACCGATGGTCTCTGGAGTACCTACATCTTTTGCAGCAGCGCGTTAAGTGGTCTGACAAGACGGACCCCCCTCGGGTTGGAGACCTCGTGTTAGTTAAAGAACCTAACGCCTCGCCCTTGTATTGGCGCCGTGGGCGCATTGTCAAGTTGTCGTATGGACCGGATGGGATCCCTAGGGTGGCCGAGGTTTTGGTTGGAGATTCGGTTTTGCAACGTGCCGTCTCTACCCTATCCCGCTTGCCAATTTACTCGCGGACCTAGATCCTCATGTCCGGGACGGGGGCTTGTTTAGGCCTAATTTAACGTTTGGCGGCCTGCGTCGGCGCTCGGGTCGAGCGGGAGGCGAGCCTGACTGCTGAGGCGCGGGGGGTGCGGGCTGGTGCGGCGTCCGGCCGCGCTGGCGTCGGCGTTTTGCGGGACACTTGCCGCAGAGCGTGGAACTGAGTAGTTGCGCGTCGTGTTAATAGCTTAGTCGCCCGCTGCCTCTGACGCCTATACTTCGCGAACCTGAGTTGTTTGCAACGCGGCCCGGTGATATTGCAATTTTCACAAAGGTCGAGTTTGTTGTAACGCGAGTTCGGTTAAATCTTGTTGGATTTTATTGGATTAACCTAATGACAATTGACTTGACTCCAATTAACGAGTGAGAAACGAGTGTAATTCCCTAGATTCTTAAATGTTTGTGACGGACTGCCACTTCGATATAAAGAATAAAGGTGAAGCCTTGGGATCGGCGGTTCTGCAACCAGCGGGAAGTCAGGTTACATAATTTAACACAATCACAACACAACACAGTCAAGCACGCCCACACTTACACCTGAATCTTCCTAGGGTTGACCCTACTTCGAAGAAATAGGTAAGTTTTGTTTGGTTCCCTTGTTACCGCTAACGTGTAATATTCCACAAGCCATTTAGGCCGACCTCCTGTTACTCGTCGAGTGGAACCCCTGATGGGCCCGGGTTCCACGACCTTGCCCGGGTAACTAGAGGCCGTAACAAATATATTTTTGGTTTTTTAAGTCACTATAAGTTTAAAAAGGTTTGATTGAATTTGGTTCTAGATTTGGTAGTCTAAGTGAACATTTAAAGAAGTTTCTTGTATACCTACACTGTGGTGTTGGCATACAAGAAACTTCTTTAAATGAATTTGAAGTATATAAAGGCATGCACAAGTCTTGTACGGTGCGTGGCGCGGGGCTTCCAGCGGCGCTTTGATCTGCACCGCGTTGACACATTTCGCCTTCAATTTGCTCTATAAACAATTGCTCGCATTTTGTTACGCTTCTGTATTGTTTGTATTGAAGGTATATTTAACAATAGCTTAGCATTATTTCATATACTCGTATCTTGATTTACGATCTAGATCTAGAGGTAGCTATTTTTAATTAAGGAAGAAGTAGCTATTTTTCGAGAGAGTAGAATAAATGGTCTGATGATAATGGATGATGATCATCTTAAATCTAAATAACCTCACATTAAAAGTTTATACATGTATCAACGTTAACTCAGATGACTGTAACGTTACTTGTCGTAAAAATAATACGAGTACATTTGTAAATGCTTACCCCGCGCTGCATGTCATGGAATTAAAAAAAATATTTCGGAAATATTTCTAAAACCGCCAAGTCACTATAGAATTTGTCATGCCCAAACACTCTGGTGAATCAGAGGTACCCAAACTTAATGTCACTTTAATTTAAAAAATATATTCTTTTTTTTAAATATACGGACAAGTTTATCTTTTGTCTGCCCTTCGTGAGAAATAATCCTCTACCAAAGACTAATATTTAATTGAAAATAATTAAATAAACGAGACTAATACTTCGTCACCTTTGAACAGCAAGACTCAACGCAATCACGCTGTCCTGAGGACTTTTACTTTGAGGAGGCCGGCTTTACTTCGATTGGTTCCAATAAAATATAGACGCAGCCCAAAAACGCTTTAATTAAATATCAAGCATTCCTCTTGTCCACCTCCCCCCGGACTGCTCCCCCCCACCCGCACTGGCCGGGGACAAATTTCATTAAGAGATTGCTCTTTGCATTTACAAGAAAAACTGAAACTAAGCAAATCACATATTACACCAACTATTTTGAATTATAAATAGAATCACTATTGGTTTAGTATTTAAAGAAAATTGATGAGAATATAGACTATTGGCAAAGCACTGAGTTGCGCGTCTAAGGACCGCGAGTTTGAATCCCGCGTGGTACAATTATCTGTATTTGTATGGTTTATAAATACTTTTTCCCGGTCTGGATGTTTGTCGTCAAATTTATGTATGTAAACTTCCTCCCGAATACAGGAGAAAATGATAGTGTGGACTGTGGAGGTAACGTTTAAAAAAAGTGTTAATTGCAGATTTAAGTGCTAATTTACCACAAAAGTTCCTTATAGAAAAACATTGTACATGCATGCCTGAGGGACACAATACATTTGTCGAGCACATTTGAAACCAAACGCACTGTAGCGGCGGCGTACTATAATTGCCCTCTCAGAAACGAGTGGAGGCCTGTGTCAAGCAGTGGTACGTATAACATGGACTCTAACTACAAAAGTTCCTTATAGAACAGATATACATTAACTTTACTTACCTTAAATAAATATTCTTAGAGTTATAATGTTCTCCAGACCGAATTTCTGCGACGGCGGCGAAACCGGGCATTAGCTATCTGTGCAGGACAGGATCATAGTGCCGAAGTGTTTGCGCAAGCACACGTGCACTCTCTATTCCTTGACTCTCGACCCGGGATTCGAACCGAAGACTTCATGATTAGTGTCAGTAACCGCGTTTACGACCACTGGATCAACGAGAGAGTCAAGTTAAGTGAAACATTATTGAATCAACAGTAACCAACTTCGACAGATAAAGCTCGTTGCAGACTGCAACAAGATTCTGAAGTCTGTTCGGCGGAGATCGGACCAAAAATTATTATTCAAAAAGTAGCCCGGGTTAACTAAAATTAGTTTTGTTCAATGTGTAGTATTAGTGTAAATATAAGAAATCATTATGTCACCACAGTAGCGCCATTCGTTAGAGGAGTTGATGGCTTCAGAGTTTAGTACACATGCAGAAGTCCGTCAATACAAGTGACTCAGAACCGTGGCCTAATTTCTATAGCGAACTTGAACGGGCTGTAATGATAAGAATGGTAATACAGAAGTGTGACATAATTTTAGTTTGTATGTTATTATAGATTTGGGGCTCCCTCGGCAATGCGTTGGCAGCTCGCCATTCTCGAGACAGATGCGCCCCGAATCGGCACCACATTACACAGCCATTACCACATCCCCGAATTCTTATAATCGAGTTAATCCGCCGCTGAGGGGCTGAAATATGGCCCCGCCGACTCCAGCGGGAGGAATTGCTCACAAATTGAGTTAGGCCCTTTCAAGCGCCATTTCGCTTCAAACTTCAGAAAGTAATCTTGTTTTTTTCGAAGGGTCCTTTCAAAGTGCGTAATGAAAATATTGTGTTTAGGGTTCACAAGGCGACGCGATAATGAGGCGCTTTAAGCGACATTTGCATAACGCAACTTGGATAAAGTTTGCGACGGCACGGCTTGCCTGCGTCAGTACCAAGAGTTTTTTACGTGCAGATTGAAATATATTCGCTATAAAATTCAAGAAGCTTGCTGATATTTATGTAAAGGCCTTAGTAATTTCCATATTATGCTTCTTCTTCTTTTATTTATTTCAACTTATAAAAAATGTACAAAGGCGGACTAAACGCATGAAAGGCGTTCGCTACCAGTCAGTATGTTTGGATTGACACGCGCAGTACCAGATTTCTCGCACTCTTGGCACTGATGTTCTTTGCCGGTCTGGGTATTTTAGGTCTATCATAAGCGCCATCTATTAAAAGTCATAGTAATATTTTTTTTTGTCGTTTCCGATAGTCGCTTTTTCACGACACCCACGGAATGAAATGGGTCGGTTGATTTGTTCACAGAACCACCACATGCACTTGTAACCACAGGTATAGACATCAGAGAAAGAAAAGAATTTTTTATAGCGTTACCCCATACTAGGATGTTCTCCTATATCGTCGAGGTAGTTTATACAAAACAAATTTATAAGGATTAACATCCAGAGCCGGAACAATTATTTGTAAACCATAGAAAAACTTATTCCGTGCGGGATTCGAACCCGCGGCCCTCAGCGCCACTTAACAGGCGGCTTAATAAGGCGGCGAAAGGTTGTTAGAAAGACACCAATGCCCATCACCTGGTTTGTTTATCTCTGTCGTCTCTTGAGACACATACGGCACAATATGGAGTAGTAGCTTAGTCACTCTCGAGCCATTATTTCCTATCGGGTTTTGATTATTCGAGCAGTTCGTTTTTGGTTCGCGGATATCCTCATTTTAAAGAGTGCTTCCGAGCACAGTCCTCTCCGTAGCACGCTGAGCAACCTTAAGTTTCCTCATACAGCCAGCAGAATGAAGGGCCACGTCCTAAATCTATACATCATCACCGGTAGCACGCACTGATTGTACATTTTCGTCTACAAGTTGTGAGGTATACGTAACGAGAAGGTTAAATAGGAATAACGAAATGTAAAATTATTGATTTTCCAAACAAAAAAACAATATGTGGGTACCTAGTTATTAGGCCTGCCTAAATTTACAAAAACATTTAAATGAAGTAGGAGATGAGCATCATCTAGAGATCTTCAAGATTTATTAAAAATTACAAGAAAAAAATAACTGTAATTTTGTAAAGTGCCAAAAGTGCCAACAAGTTGGCAGGTGGCCAAGTGTGTGCGTGAACTGTGGCACAATGAAACAGTCTCAGGACTCCCCCTCTCGTTCAGCTATGGACTTTCAATAGGCTGTAGTGAATGATTATATTATATTTCTTACGTACCGGAGTTTTTTTTAAATTCAAATGACGTAATACATTGTAAGGCGCTTGGCGAAGCGTCTCTCCAATCCTCTTCTAAATAGGGGAAGTAGGAAATAAAACATGCTAATGGCGTAAGTTGCGCTGTTATTGTCGCTAAACTGTTGTTTGTCGCCGCTTATTTCGTTAATATTTGGTCTGCGACGCAGTCCCCCGTTCCCCGACCCCTCCCTTTGCCCGCGAGGACTCGGGCTGCCAGCTACCACCCGCTTTCCCCGTATTTATGTTAATTTTGAATAGGGAATACATTAAGGAGAAACTGCTTTAACATTCTTTATTGTGACTTAAGGAAATATTATTTTTAAATATTCATTATTCTGACTCTGTATTTTTCCGGTTACACTTCCTAAAGTTGGCCATATCATAATGATGTCACCCCCGAGAACTAAGATGACATTCCTTGTTTTTTTCGTTGGTCACAGACTCGTACGTTTATACTTTTGCCAGTGCCAAGTAATAAGAAATTATCCAATATAATTATTATGTTTAAAAACTTCTTCACAATATGTTGATCATATTGCAGTTCCACGGCGGCTTAACCCAACCGACAGTTGATGGCGACAGTAACTCAAGTGCCTAAGCGAGCAAAATAATTTAATGTTTATATCCACATCGAAGGACTTGTTTTGACGTATTCACTAATTTTTCACAAGCGAAGACACTAAATACACAAAACCGCATCACTTGTACTTATAAATATCCGCTTCAAACAATTTTTATGCGATAAAACAGGAGAAACAATCCGTCGACGGTGAAGTTCCCGCCAAAACTCGTATTTCTTGTTATCAATGGAAAAGGAGCCACGAGACGGGGCTTCAGGTAGAATGATTTCACTATTCCCAAAAGATGGCGCTAAAACTATGTTGTCATGTTGGATGTTAAATAATTAGACCGATGACGGAGAAACGAGTCAAATCTGTAAAGATTTGAAACGTCTGACAATACTCCTAATGCCAATCCGTTAGCGTGGCGGATCGAATCATGCTTACAGTGGGAGAGGTCCATTTCTAGCAATGGACTGTAGCGGACTGAAGGATAAGTTTCATTTAGCATGATATGTAGTTACGTAGTAGTTCTACACTGTATGAAAATATTTTATGTACACTAAAGTCGCGAAGTCTCCTTGTTTCTTACATCTACTGTTCACTCCCTTAGGTGCAACACACTCGACCATTCTCAACTCATCCCCGTGCAGGATTCATGATACACACGATACAATTAAAAGTGCTTCAAAGCGTACAAAATTTAACGCTATAACGTTAATAGACACATATTTCCGTGTAATTTCCATCGAATCAAATTATGTGTAATTTACGTTTATTGTATGTAG